GTTGTATATACTGTAGTTATTTTGTTTTTTTAGTTAAATGAATTTTTTGAAAATAAAAAAAATGAATTAAGGAAATGGATTTATTTATTAGCGCAGCCTTATGATTTGACCTTACAGGTCTATGGTACATTTGCCTCCTTAATCTGATATAATCAGCCTTTTCATGGTTATTGTTCTATATTAACACCAATATGAATCTGTTTCTGTTCTGTGATTTCAGTGAGAAATAAACACATCCTGATGGTCTGGTGCTGTCTCAGACAGCAACAAGTATTTTACTTTAAGAAAAGTGTCACGAGGTTCATTCTGATGCCTAGTTTCATTCATTCATTATGTTTTTGTGTTTTATTGTATATTTTGAACTGCATTGACCTTGTGTTTGATTTACAATTTTAGAAATTAATTTCTTGATTTGATGTTTCAATTTTCGTTGCTTATGTGTAATTATGTTTTTCTGTTTCATTTGATTCTTTCCACCATTTTTATACTGTTAATGACTGTACAGCCCTTTGTGATTATATTTCTGTGAAAGGAGCTTTATAGATAAAACTTAGTTTGTCTGGGGTTTTTATGGGATCACATCAATAAAGGAGCAGTTTTTTAATGTTTTAAACAAACTTTGGACAAACATGTCTTTGTAAAGGTTGTCTGACACTTGGAAATATAACGATATTAAATCAGTGCTGATCAGATTACAACACAGAACCAGGACATTTTCCAGCAGTTGGTTTAAAAACTTATTTTTTTACCCATACCACACTAAAAACCTCACGTTTTGTTTATTTCCAGTAATTATTGTGTGAAAACGCACACAACATCACAGACAGTGCAGGTGKACTGAAGCAGCTGCTGCAGATCCAGCACAATGTACTTATTTGTGTTTTAGACAAACATATTTACTGTTGAAGAAGCTGAACGCCTGAAGTGAACAGCTCAAATCATTTTCAGTTTTTCTATCTTCAGATGTGGTGTTGTTCAAAACCTATCCAAGGCTACAGCCCTGACTGTCCAAGTCCAACTACACCAAGGATAAATAATGTTTCTATAAACCTGGTCCAAACTCTGGTACATCCATCATGAACATGGACACAGCTGCTCAGGAGGAGATGGTGCCGACAGCCTAGMATGCAGCTCTGGAAGCCGTGCACAAAACACTAAAGTGTGATTTATAAACACTGTTAGMTATGTGCCAAACTCAAACTGAACAGACGTGGTCAAAAACACACTAACACCTGTGAGACTGATAAACAGGGTTCCTACAGTTTAAGGCAAGTTCAATTTAAGACTTTTTAATGCCAAGTGAAATTAAATTTAAGACCAATTTCATAATAAACACAAATGACAATAAATAAATAAATGAAAACTGGCAGAAACTCATGAATCAACGTATTTTTGGTTGAAGTATTCAAATATTGTTAACAGACCGACTGTTTTTATCCATATCTAACTATAGCAGAAACGTTATTAGCGGTCAGTTTTAAACTTCATTTAATTTCAGGAAATCCTCTAACAACTTAAAATTTGTAGTTTTAGGACCCACATGGGGTCTTAACCCCAGCTTTCTGTAGATAACACCTTAAAGTGCCTGTGACATCAACTTTTTGTAAGAAAAGTGAAGGTATTTTTGAAAAGACAACATGAACATGTTTCAAATTTCACATTGCTCAGTTGTTGAGATATTTATATGTGAAATAACAGGAAGTGATGTCAAAGGGGAATGTCTACATGTGAATATTTAAAAAAATT